CAACTAAAAGGTGTGGCCAAACGTCCCCAGGGAGTTCCAACTGCCCACCAGCAGAGGAATGGAAAGGAATGAAAAGCAGGGAGACCTTCTCTGCATTGACACCTCCTCCAGCAGCCTCCTTTTGCAAGTGCTGAGGAGGATGGACAGGGCCCACAAGGTTACTGAAGGGCATTCATGGCTCCAACGTGCAGGGCTTTCTGGAAAGGACCCGTGACTGTTAAAATGTAAATGCTTAAGTGAGTGCTATACTGTGAAAATAACCTTTACAATTATAATTAATTCCTTTGAAAAATAACACCAAAAGAAATGAATCCTTCTCACAATACTCTCAGAGTTTATTTTACAATTTCTGCTTTATGATAAGTTGGTGATGACTACAAAAGCATCAGTCCTCTCAGTACAAAGGGGTCACGTCAACGAGGAATCTTCATAGACAGTCAAGGCCTTAAAGATAACCTATTGCAACTTCAGAACTAGTGCCTGGGCACATCTGACTATAAATTCCTGGTCAAGAAAATACAACCAGAGAGCTCCGCTGTAGTCTTCTTTCCCCTTTCAATTCCTGCCAACACTGTGTTCTATTACACCACACCTGATCTATCACCAGATGAGGTAATGAGAGCCAAACACACCATGACATTGCTAAAGAAAGAGGGACACAAAAGCCATCTGTATTATGAATGGGAACTACTTCTATTAAAAATTCAGATAATCCACTTAAATAATTTAAAACACTTCCTTCATAAACAGATTACTTAAAAGATACTGAAAGTGCTACCTTTGAAAATTTGACAATAATCAAGATAATTGAGTTGCGATCATCATGGACAGTAATGTGACCAGCCTAAGAGACTCATGAACTCACTATTTTGAAATCTCAAGGTGGAAAGTACAGCAACTTATGGTCTTTATTGCTGTTATCCAGCTTATCCAAACTGTTCCTACAGTTAAAAAAAAATCATAAATGTTTAAAAAAGAATTCTTATCTTTTAGAGATACATACTGAAATATTTATGGGTGAAATGATATGTCAGGTATGTGCTTCAAAAGTAATCTGGGGGTGGGGAGTAGGGAGTTCACAAATGAACCAAGACTTTGGGAAACTGTGCAATGGCTTGGGGGCAGGTAGAGTGTTTCACTAAACTATGCTCTCTACTCTTATGTATGTTCAATACTTTTCATTTTAAAAAATTAAAAATATTTATCATGAGGTATAATTCTTCACTTTTCTCTAAATTATTTCACTATCAAGGAATATTTCTTCTCTTTGCTCCTCTATAATGTATTCTGACATTGGACTTGGAAAAGCAAGACTGAGTCATAATAAAGGCTAGCAAACCTTACACAGACACAAAAATTAACCTTTTGCTACACTGTTAATTATCTGCTTCAAAACAAGAGCTCTCCTCCACCATCCCAGGAAACCTGTGCAAGTCTGGTACTTAGATCACATCCAACACTGCTTCTTCCTGAGAAGTCTGGGACAGCAGACAGAAGAGGCAACGTCACAAGAGATCTCCCTCACTTGCCCATCCCCACCAAATCCTGAGTCATCCTGGCCTTACCCCCAAATTTAAAATTCCACCAGGGGCTACCAGAACAAAGAATGTTGACTCATTTCTACTTTGTATTTAGAAAAAGCTCAGCCCCAAATAACAACCCCAATTTTTTTTTTTTTTCAACCCCAATTTTTTCCCACTGTGATCACTAAGAATGATACAACAAAAGGTGGTTCTCAAATGAAAATGGTTTTATTAAGTCAATAAGATGAAGCTTTATGGGATTATTTAGGGGCGCCAAACCTAGGAAGTTGAGAGCCACCTAAACATTATGAGCCCAGAAGACCTAGGTGTAGTCCCTGTTATTGCATTGACAATCTGTGAGGCCTTGGAAAGTAACTTAACCTTTTTGGGCCTCTAGTTTCTTACCTGTAAAGTGGGATGAATCCCTTCTGCCTCCTACTACCTCAGAGAAAGGTTGATGATCCAGTGAAAACATAAATGAGCCTCATATAAGCTATAAGGCACTCTATTAAGAGTCAGATTATGGTAAAGAAGAACAAATGTGCCACTTTCCTAACATTCTTGATTGGTGTAATGAGGAAGGGAATGTTTGCAGAGAAGACACATCACACTAATGAGAAACAACCAAGGATACCCAAGGTGCTCTCCAGCCGAGGGACAAGAAGGAAAAGCATAAAAAAAACTTAGACCAGGACTTCCCTGGTGGCGCAGTGGTTAAGAATCCACCTGCCAATTCAGGGGACACAGGTTCAATCCCTGGTCCAGGAAGATCCCACACACTGTGGAGCAACTAACCCTGTGCGCCACAACTACTGAACCTGTGCTCTAGAGCCCACGAGCCACAACTGCTGAGCCCACGTGCCACAACTACTGAAACCCACGTGCCTAGAGCCCGTGCTCCCCAACAAGAGAAGCCACCGCAATGAGAAGCATGCACACTGCAACGAAGAGTAGCCCCCGCTCACCACAACTAGAGAAAGCCCGCGTGCAGCAACAAAGACCCAAAGCAGCCAAAAATAAATAAATAAAATATTTTAAAATTTATTAAAAAAATAAATAAATAAAACTTAGACCAGCAATCACAATCCATACTAACCATACAGGAAACTGTCAGTCACGTATCTCTCTCTCTGCCCATTACACTGAGATGGAAGACCTGTCCTGAGCAATGTCTTCAACCCAGAGCTAAACAGGAGCTCACACTGACCTAGACGCCAACATTCAGGATGCCCCACAGGGACATGCCCACGCTGAAAACTCAACAAGGAGCCCTGACTCAGGACGACCCAGTTCTTTACATGACAGCTCAATGGACACTGTGAATACTCAGGGGGCACACAGATCCTTTATAAAGGTTCTTAATGTTATGGCAGACACCCTAAATAGCAGGATGTCAATTTTACCTCTTGGCTTAAACATGCATATGTACCTGAACACCCACTTAACAAATACCCACATGTATGAAAAGTCAATAAAATACAGAAACTAGCAGATCAACCTTTTGTGATTTCCCAGTACTAAGTAAAATATTTAAAAATGAACACCAGTAACCTATTTGATGTCTATTTGGGTTAACAGCAGAACATACACAGCCCTGCTGCTGTCTCCACATAAACTTTCATAAGTGCTGAGATGGAGGAAGACCTGGATCTTGAGGCCCACCTTCTCCCAGAGCAGCCGCAGCCCTGGGAGCTGCACAGGACTCCTGCCATTGCCCTGTGCATTCCCGTCACCTGTCCAGCACCTCACCTGTCCTACAAGAGTGGAGATGGCCCTGATGGAGTTCTGCTCGAGTTTGTATTCACCGCTGTGCTCTTAGGCTCATTCCCGTCCCTCTGGGGTTCATCCCTTTCCCTTCCGCGCAAAAGGTATGGAAATGACCGTTTTTCACGTTCACTGTTTCCCCAACAACGAATCTACCTAAAACATAAGCCAAACACACACAGTAAAGTAACTGCGCTCAAAATAGATTAACATGATCTTAAGCATCCAAGTGCAGCCTGTCCTTTGCAGACCAAAGAAGTGAATTACTTCAGCCAAACCAGACCTGGGCCCTCAGTTGGGGGAACCGCTGGCACTTCTCCATCCACGGGGCACTTTTATTCGGCAGCCTAGGGGCATGTCCCCACGCCAGAAGCATCTCTCAATTTAGGAGAGATAAGCTTGTGTGGCTTGGGATGGCAGGGAAAGAAACTGACTCCCGGGAATAGAACCTCTTTAAAGGGGGAAGAGGTGCTTCAGCGAAATTCAACCAGAGGTGAGAGTAGAAGAACTGAATCAAAAGAGAACGCGTAACCGGCACTCCGCGAACACCGCGCGGGGCCCGTCTGCCACGCTGCGAGTTACCTGTTCTGCCCCATAGACGGTGGCGAACTGGACGAAGTCTTCGATGCGGACGAAGCCGTCCCCATCCCCGTCCAGGGCATCGAATACGGCTCGGAGGCGGGGGCCGTCCTCCGGACACCCCGCGGGCTCGCTCGTTAGGGGGCAGGTCTGGCTAAAGTCCGAGGGCCGGTCCGGGTCCCCGGGACCCAGCTCCAGGGCCGGCTCGCCCACCGCGGGGGACGCGAAGGAAGGAAAGAAGTCGACCTCGCCCCTCAGGTGATGGCTGCGGCTGAAGTCCTGCGCGCGGCCAGACGCGCTGTGCGGGGGGCCGTCACCCTCCTGCTCCGTCATCCAGGAAAAGAGCGGGCCGAGTTCCGGCAGCGGCGGGTCGGGGTCGGAGTCCCGGCTCGAGCGCTGCGGCTGCCGCTCCCGCCCCGGAGCTCGCCCAGCATCCGCGCCGGCCGCGAGGTCCTGCGGGCCGAGCCCAGGGCGCGGGGCGGGGGCGGCGGGCGCTCCGGGCCCACCGGGCTCTGGGTCTGGGCCCGGGCCGCCCGCTGGGGAGGCCGGCCAGCTTGGGTCCATCTTCATGGGCGCGACCCCAGCCGCGGCGCGGGCCCGCGAGGCCAGTGGTGCGGCGGGCGGCGCGGGCGGCAGACAAAGGCGCTCAGGGCGCGGCGGCGGGCGCGGGCATCCCCGCGGCGGCGCGGGCGGGCGCGCGCGGGGCGCCCGGACTGCTCGGGCTGGCGCTCGGGCCCTGCTTCGCCCTCGCCCATCTTCGCGCCGCGCCTCAGCTGTCCTCGGCCCGGCGGCGCGGCGGGCGCGGGCCCATGGCGGCGGCGGGCGGCCGAGGGAAGTCGAAGGGGAGAGCGGGGAGAGGACGCCGAGGAGGGGGACGCCGAGAAGGGGACCCTGAGGAGGAGGAGGAGGAAGAAGACCCTGATGAGGAGGACGACGCGGAGGTGTACGCTGAGGGGGACGCAGCCTAGGCGGACGACGAGAAAGCACCGGAGGTACCGGAGCGCACGCCACCGCCCTCGCCCCGCCCCCCGTTCGGCCTGACGTCATCACGTCGCGCTGCACGCTGGCCCCGCCCCTCGCCGCCTTGTTATAAAGGCAGGCGCCGGCGCGGCTGCGTGGTTTGGGGTTTTCGGTCCCTCGCAGTGTACCGATGTTTGGGAGCAAGAGGCTGTGGGCCCGGGCTTGACGTCATCGACCCACGCACTGGACGGATGGACTGAGTCCTGAAAGTGTAAAGCGCTCCCACAAATTGATAAGCAACGAACACGATTCTAATGGGGCGGGGAAAGTGCAAGTGGCGCCCTCCGCAGTCGCCCGTCGCGCGGAAAAGCCCAGGCGTTGACCTGCGGCAGCAAGAGCAGCAGCCCCCGCCTGAGTGTGGAAGGGCCCTGAAAATGAGGTCCATCACTTGTGACCGAAGGAACGCGTGGCCAAACACTGATACCTTTTTTAAAATCTATGACAAGTGCTTTTTTTCCCGTAGGATATCCAGTGTTCATCACCAGTGTACGGTCAAGCCTCCCAAGCACTGCGGCTGTCTTTGACAACTGACATGTGTTTCTCTAGATGTCACTATCGTCAGTGGGGACACAGGGTGCCAGGCAGCAACATGGGCACCTTGAAGCAGGCATGAAAGCGGAGACATGCTGGATAGGAGCCGGTGAGCTGCCAGGCCTCAGGCGAGGTGCACTTAACATTACAGTCTTCATTTAGAGCCTGTAATGAGATGTATCGGGGAAAGCACCAGCACTAGGTATGTTCATAAGCATCTTTGGCAAGAACCAAAGGAAACTGAACCTGTTTCCAAGTGTACTGTGAGGAGCAGTGTGTTAATTAACTGATTCATCTCCCATGACAAAATCCCAGGGCACATGGCACCAGATTTTGTGAGGTTGGCATTAGGGAAAAGAAGGGCAAAGGAATACCACCCCGCAACCCTAAAACTATATTCTCAATTTCTTATAAGAGCTGTATGCTTTCATGAGGAAGATACTGCATTCAAAGAAAATAAATTATCTCCAGTTTGGCAAGAATCTGAAATTGGACTGGTGCCTTTGACCAGATACAGTTTTCAGAGGTAGTTACAGTGATGTGTCAACCTTTCTAAATAAGGGTATTAATGTGGAGGAGGTAAAACCAAATGAGGCGAGGGCTGTGCCCCGAGGAAGCAGCACTCCTACTGCTACTGTGCCAATTCATGAAAAATCTGCATTCCTTGGCTGGCTGATGCACCCAAACAGAACCCCAGCATGGAAAGCATGCACCTACCTGCTTAGACCACTTCAAGAAACTCTGTTCCTGAAATATTAAAGGTAACAAGTTCCTGGGCACTTGGACTGGGCGTTTGGACCTCAAGCATCCCCTGTAGACATTTTTTTTAATATATGAATTTATTTATTTATTTATTTATTGTTGGCTGTGTTGGGTCTTCGTTGCTGCGCACGGGCTTTCTCTAGTTGCGGCAAGCGGAGGCTACTCTTGGTTACGGTGCGCGGGCTTCTTATTGCGGTGGCTTCTCATTGCGGAGCACAGGCTCTAGGCATGTAGGCTTCAGTAGCTGTGGCTCGCTGGCTCTAGAGTGGAGGCTCAGTAGTTGTGGTGCATGGGCTTAGCTGCTCCATTGCATGTGGGATCTTCCCAGACCAGAGAGCAAACCTGTGTCCCCTGCATTGGCAGGTGGACTCTCAACCACTGCTCCACCAGGGAAGTCCTCCCTTTAGACATTTTTGATCTCTAACATTCAGGATGAAATGAATCAGCTCAAGGGAAGCAGCCCCTGCTGCCATTTTAACCTGCTCCTCCATGCCAACCCCGTGCACATTTTAATTTAGCCATGTAACAGGTACCCAGAAGAGGAAGGAGAGGGTGGGGTACAGCTCACATCTGTTGGCTTTTGAGTCTGAGTGAATGTCTGTGAAAACCTCCCTCTGTGAGTCTTTCTTTTTGAAAGGTACCTGGGTTAAACACTTATCTTTTGGAACTCTCAAGCAAATGGGTCTCCTTGATCCCTCTTCCCTGGTGACCTCTGACCTACGGAGAAAGATGGGAAAATGAAGACCAGCAAGGTGACTCAGCAGATTCTTAGCTGTGTAGCACAGCCCTGTTGGACCTGACAAGGGAGCAAAGGGAAAGTAGGTCAAGAAGCCTCAGTGGAAGAATGCACATGTCTCTCCTGGGATAGGGCCTCTCCACCACCTGCGTGAGATCTGGCCACTGACAGGAGGAAGGGGAAGGTGACAGGCAAGGATAAATTTGATCACAAATCTATCTTATTTAATGCACATTTTTAAAATGCGGAAATACACCAAAATTACAAAAGAGATTACATATGATTTCTCCCATTTTTGCTAGTCTGATGAACTTAAAACGGCAGCTCATCTTGTCTTATTTGAATTTAGCTGAATGCTAATGTGGTTGAGTGTTTCTTACTGTGTTTACTGACCACTAGGATCTGTGAATTGCCCAATTGTAGCACTTGCTTTTCTTTTGGGTTCTCTGACTTTTTCTTTAGGTAAAATCCCTCATATGTTTTTGATGTTGCAAGTATCTTCTCCCTGCCTGTGACCCCTTCATGAACTCTGCCTGTTAGGGAAGATTAGACATAAATCTTTCATTTTGGGTAGTCAAACCCATCATTTTTATCCTTGGTGGCTTTGCTAATCATAAGGAAGATGGACTTTTCTATAGCTGGTGCTAGCTGTCTGTACAGAAACCTTACAACTAGATCCCTATGTCATATCAGATACAAAAATAATTAGAGCCATCAAAGACATAAAAGTGGAAAGCAAGGGAATTCCCTGGCACTCCAGTGGTTAGGACTTCATGCTGCTGAGGGTGCAGGTTCGATTCCTGGTCAGGGAACTAAGATCCTGCAAGCCACAAGGTGTGGCCAGAAAAAAAAAAAAAGCAAAACTTTAAAACTTTAAGAAGACATTGAAAAATAGCTTTATGACCTTGGAGAAAGAAAGTTTCTCACACAAGAATAAAAATTACAAACCATTTTTAAAAAGACAATGACTTAAAGTTAAATACATTAAAATTTAAACTTCCCAAAAGTAAAGGGACACAAATCAAATAGAGGGTGGGAGGGCTGGGGGAGAGGGAAATTTGTTGAAGTGAAGGAACTGTTTCATATCTTGATTGTAATGGTGGTTCTATAACTGAATGTGTTTGTCAAAATTCACAGAACTGTACACGACAAAGAATGAATTTTACTGTATGTAAATTATGCCTTAGTAAAGATTAATTTAAAAAAATTATCCTTCTGTTTGATGAAAGACACATCATAGACTGGTGTCTTAGTCTGCTCATGCTGCTGTGACCAAATGCCATATACTGGTTCGTTAAAAAGCACATTTATTTTTCATAATTCTGCAGTCTGGGAAATGCAAGATCAAGATGCCAGTGTTAACCTAAAACAATTAAAAAGCCAGTTATTTTACCAGCAACATGGGTTTACTCAGAAGCCACAAAGAGTTGTAATTGGAGACATGCAACTATGTCCAGCAAAGGAAAGGAAATGCTTTTATAGGGGAGAAGGAGGAGTTGAGAGGAGCTGTCATAAACAAAGAGCCCATTGGAGGAAACTGGGAGTTCTAGGTGCAGTGGCTTTTCATTGGCTGAGTTGTGACAGTCTTTCATTGGCTGGACTGTTGCTGGTCAAAGAGAAATTGTTTCTTCCTCCTGCTGGGTAGTAAAGTAGTATCCCTTCCTGCTGGGACATGTTGGGATCTGTGCTGATGTTGAGTGGTATGCGCATGAAAGCTCCCCCGTCTGGCACCCCGGTTCCATTTTGGTGAGGTTTCCTTTCATTACTTTTCACACCAGCAAATTCCTTCCTGTTGAGAGCTCTCTTCCTAGCTTGTGGTGAGGGTCTCCTTCTAGGTGTGTCCTAGCATGGTGAAGACAGCCATCTCTCCCTCTTCCTCTTTTTATAAGGCAGCAATTCTATCATGGGAGGTCATCTACATGAACTCATCTAATGGTAATTATCTCCCAAAAGGCCCCATCTCCAAATACCATTGCTTTGGGGGCTAGGGCTTCAACACATGAATTTGGGGGGACACAATTCAGTCCATAGCAACCGGGAAGAGATATTTAAAACAGATGTAACTGACAATGGATTTATTTCCAGAATACACAAGAATTCCTCATAAAACAGTAAAAGAACAGCAAACTAGTAGAAAAATCAGCAGTGAATACAAATAAGCAGTTCCAGAGGAAGAAACTCAATTGGCCAATAAACATAAAAAAAGATGCTTAACCACACTGATAATCAAGGGAATGAGTAACGATAGCATTTGACATCAACCAGTAGAAATTTAGTCTGATGTCAACCAAGTGTGGGGATTCACAGAACTAATACAGCTGAAGCTCTGTGTCCCCTTAACCTGGCACTCCTGCTTCTCCACCTTCAGGTCCAAGAGGAGGAAGGAAAGGGGTGTTGAGGCAGCCCTGGTTTCCGTAGTCCCGTGAAGAGCTTGCTGGCTGGCTGAGAGGAAGTCTGTTGTGATGGAATACTGAGCAGTTTCAGCAAATGGATCACATCCTCACACAACCACATGGGCAGACTTCTAAAACAAGCTGTGTGAGAAAGCAAGTTACAGAACAGATACTGTGTAATACCATTTTTGCAAAGTTTCAATACATATATTGTTTTTGAACACCTTCCTTTGTAGTAAAAATACCACAACGAAAGTGGGAATTATATTGAGGGGGACAGAGGAGGAAAGTGGTAAAAGGTAGCTGTACCTGTAACATTTATTTCCTCCCAAAACAGGCAGACTGGGAATAAACAGGACACAGTACCAACATCTGGTAAACCTGGCGGGTGAGTACATGTGCGTCTGGGCTTGTCCACATATTTTAAGGATTTCATAATTAAACACTTTTTAAATTCAGTAAGTAAATCCTGTACCCAAAGTCTCAAAGATATCCACCTCTATTTATAGCTTTTCCTTTCTCAAGTATGTCGTTAAGCTATTTGGAATTTTTTTTTTTTTGGCTGCGTTGGGTCTTCATTGCTGGCACGGGCTTTCTCTAGTTGCGGCGAGCGGGGGCTACTCTTCGTTGTTGTGCGCGGGCTTCTCATTGCGGTGGCTTCTCTTGTTGTGGAGCATAGGCTCTAGGTGCACGGGCTTCAGTAGTTGTGGCACATGGGGTCAGTAGTTGTGGCTCGCAGGCTCTAGAGCGCAGGCTCAGAAGTTGTGGCGCACGTGGGCATAGTTGCTCTGCGGCATGTGGAATCTTCCTGGACCAGGACTAGAACCCATGTCCCCTGCCCTGGCAAGCAGATTCTTAACCACTGCACTACCAGGGAAGTCCCTGGACTTTTAAAAAATGTGGTGTAAAATAGGGACCCACTTTTGTTTCTCTCACTTAATGAGCCGGTTTCCCAGAACCATCTGTTCTTCCACCACCTATTTGTGAGACCATCCCTATCAGCCATTTGAAGATTGAAAGTAAGTTGTGTCCAAGGTGGAGTGATGTTGGGAACCCAGACCAGAGAGTTGTGGAACAGTTCTCGGGGCGTCTAAAGAAGCCCACCTCCCATGGGGACAGGACAGATGCTTCTGTGACAGGTCCCTTCTCAGCGAGCACTACGGGCTGTGCTGGGCCGGACATCTGCATTTGGAGCAAGCCCTCCACCCAGAGCTCCAGAAGGAGCCAGCCCGTAGTCAAGGGGAAGCCTCTCAGCTGGCCAGTGGTGGACCTAGTGCCCCAGGGAGGCCATGGATATGCCCTGGAGATGGACAGCAGGAGGGGGCAGAGCTTTATTCTGGAGGACGAAGTGACCTGCCACAGGCCCGTGATGGGGCCAGAGCAAGGGAGGAGCAGGGCCACCAAACAGCCTGCCACTGGGCACCCCAGGAAAGGGGTTCTGGACCTGACTGAGGGCTCAGCACCTCTACCTCCTGTCCCACCTTCTCCTCCCACCCAGAAGAGGCTGGCCTCCCCCTCCCAGTCCTGAACTGCCATCCTGGCTGGGTCACCTGGGATGAAGGGGCAGGGAGAAATGAGGGGGTTTCCAAGGGGCGGGAGGAGGCGTTTTACAGGCGATGGGTATGTTCATCCTCTTAATTGTGGTGATGGTTTCACGGATGTAGAAATGTCAGAACTCACCAAACTGTAGATTTCACTCATGTGCGGTCTTCTGAATGTCAGTTATACCTCAATCAAGCTACAAACTGCTGGCCAAATATTTTCAATATAAAAATTTTAAAAACTACATATACATTTTGTGTAGAGTAAGTAAACTGAGAACAGAGTCAATTTTAGATCACACGCACCCTCCCCGTGGCCTCCTGAAGCCAAGAGCACAGTCCATACTCCTGTTTACTGATATTTATTCAGTGGGGAAGGATTTTTTTCTCACCTTCAAGTTTAGTAAAGTACATTTCTTAGAGTAAAAATAGACCATGAGTTTGTAAGGCACAATTTAATTCCTCCTGACTCAGCCGAGGTTTGGATGATTTTCTTATTTTAACATTTCACTCTGCAGTTGCTGGCACCTGGTCCCATCTTCCTGTGAGGACAGGCATCTCCAGTCCCCACAGCGCCCAAATCCCACACCTCCCACGCCTCCCCTGCAGCCAGAATCACAGCCCACAGCGGGGGGATGGGCGCCAAGCACCAGGCTGAGAGAGGTTTGTACGCAGATTCAGAACTTCCTTTCTTAGCCTCGGGTCACATTTTCCAGAGGTGAAGATATAATTCACACCATTCTCCTCCCATGGGGTAAAAATTGTCCAAATTACGTGTGATGGTGGAAAAGTTAAACGTTAATTCTGCATATTCCTAACATTCCTTATTCCTTCTTCAGCAGACGCCTGTCAGGTGCTGTCTCATTGAGATGCTCTGATGTAGGGATGCGATGAGGTGCCCCCCAAATACTCCAAAATGTGAAAATAAAGTTATGCTCTGGGAGTTGAGTTAAGGAACTCCATACTAATAACATGTGTCACCTAGGAAATAATGCAAGATAATCAGTAAATAAATGACTGAAGAGTTATAGAAACCTCTGTCTGCTGACAGGGTAATGTAGGTCTAATCCCAGAGACCTGGACCAGGATGCAGCGGTAAACATGAAATCCAGCAATCCCATCTGAGGGGCTGTTCCCTTGAAGGGCCCGATTAGCACAATCAAGGAAAAGGGAAGTCCAAAGAAAGATCTGGTCCCCCACGGACCCTAGGACAGAAGAGCCGAGTTGGGCAGAACTCTGGCCCAAGAGGTGAGCAGGGAGCCTCTGCCATCTCCCACTGGCCCTCGGGTTTTGCCAGAGAGGGGACCTGAGACTCATGCGATCTCACACACACACACACGCACACACACATTCTCAGCACGCTGGTCTACACATTGGTTTCTAGTGAGTGTGTTTGATGTGAGTCAGGACCCACATGGGATGCCTGCTCACACGCGTTTTCTAGAAGCAGTGGGAGTTGCCAGGTTCATATAATGCAGTCAACCCTTGGCCATGGTTTATTGAGCAAGAGCCAGACCCTGACCCGAAGGGGGCACCTTTCCCAAGAACCGGGATGTGTGTCTGACAGAAGGAATGCCGTCTCTTTTCAGGGGACTGGGCTACAGCTTGCACACAGGGCAGCTGGGACCTGGGCAGAGAGAGCAGAAGGGCAGCAAGGGGAGGGGCAGGTTAACAGGGCAGGTCAAGTGGGAGAAGGAAGAACCCCCGAACCCTGGGCCCCAGCTTTGTCCCCAAGCTCCAGTGCATCCCACCCCTGGAGCCTGTGAACTTCCCAGGATCTCCCCCCACATCCCCTCTTTGTATCTGTTGCAGCATCCAGCAGAGACCAGCCTAAGTGCCCAGAGGGAAATGCCCCAAGGGGCCCACGCCCAGTCCCCTCCCCGGCCTGGGAAGCCCTGACCCCGGAGAGCCCCTCTGCCCTGCTCAAGAGGACACGGCTGCCCAGCTGCAGCATGATCGGGCCTCGGGGCAGAGCCAGGGGTGAGCAGGACCCCGCCTGGACACACAGCCCAGGGTGGGGGCGTGACCACTGCAAGGCAGGCTCAGTCTGACCCACATGAGGACAAAGCAATGTGAGGGTCAGAGGAGAGGGGAACATCTGCCGAGCCTCCAACTGGCAAGGTGCTTGGGGATTTACCATCTCTCCCTGCTTCACTCCGCGAGCCCACGTGCATGGCCGAGAGGAAGTTCCGGAGGGACAGTCGTGCTTGTGCCAGCCCCCAGCCAGGGCACCAGGCAAAGGGCTCAGTGTGCACCTGGTGGGTGGACCGCGTCCAGGCGAGGTCAGCCTCAGCCTCCCAAGTCTCCTCCTCCATCTGAGTGGCCCACCCCTGGCAGGTCCCACAGTGCGCGGGGCCACCAGAGACCTACGTGTGGAGGATGCCAACCAAGGGACCAAGAAACAAAAAAGCACGACCTCCAGCCCTTTCCAGGGTGACCGCAGACAAAGCATAGGCAAGCCAGTGAGTTTTACCAAGTTACCATGGCAACAGGAGTCGGCAGAGAAACTCCCCCAAACTCCCCCAAGTTAACAGTTTAGTTAAGTGAATTTTAAAGTTCACTGCATCATGGCGACGCCTCGGGGACACCTTCTGTGGCTCACAACACACAGGGGTCATTCACATATTCATTCAAAAAACTGTACAGGGCTTCCCTGGTGGCGCAGTGGTTGAGAATCTGCCTGCCAATGCAGGGGACACGGGTTCGAGCCCTGGTCTGGGAAGATCCCACATGCCGCGGAGCAACTGGGCCCGTGAGCCACAACTACTGAGTCTGCGCGTCTGGAGCCTGTGCTCCGCAACAAGAGAGGCCACGATAGTGAGAGGCCCGCGCACAGCGATGAAGAGGGGCCCCCCGCTCGCACAGAAATGAAGACACACAGCCAAAAAAATAAAATAAAATAAAAATAAAAATGTACAACGTGGAGCAGGGGCTGGAAGGCTGCACCCCGGTGGTGGGCAGCCCTATGCTGTAGCCATGATGTTTCCTGTTTATTTTTTTAATTAACTTATTTGTTTTGTTTTGTTTTTGTTTTGGCTGTGTTGGGTCTTCATTTCTGCACACGGGCTTTCTCTAGTTGCGGAGAGCAGGGGCTACTCTTCGTTGCGGTGCGCGGGCTTCTCATTGTTGTGGCTTCTCATTGCAGAACACAGGCTCTAGGCACACAGGCTTCAGTAGTTGTAGCTCGCGGGCTCTAGAGCACAGGCTCAGTAGTTACGGCGCACGGGCTTAGTTGCTCCGCAGCATGTGGGATCTTCCCAGGCCAGGGCTCGAACCCATGTCCCTTGCATTGGCAGGCGGATTCTTAACCACCGTGCCACCAGAGAAGCCCGGCCGTGATGTTTTTATGTGTAGTTCTGAAAAGACGTGAGGCATCCTCATGCCATGGAAGGGGGACTCGGAGTGGGCAGGGTCTGTAAATCAGCTTCCACAGCTGAGGTTCACACATAAAAGATGATCCTTCCTTTCAGGGAACCTGGCATTTTCTAAGGGAATTGTAGAGATTGTTAATGTGGAAGGGGACAACCTAGTTCTCTGCCAACTGCCACCAAGTCCGAGTGCCACTGCTGGGGCCGGTGTTAACTCCCTCACCACGTGCACCTGGCCCTCCTTTGCCAGCTCGTCCCAGAGCCCACCTGGCAAGTGAAACGCGCCAGGTGTGCCCGTGACCCACAAGCCCCCAGCAGGTGTCCTGGACCTGCAGGATGACAGCCGGGGCTGGTGGACTAAGCCAAACAGCAAGGCAGATTCCTTACAGCCAAACTGACCACCACATGCAGACGATGAGCATGGGCACGGACCTCATGGTGTGTGCAACTGTGATGTTTAACTTTGTGTCAGCTTTACGGGGCTAATGTGTGCCCAGATAGCTGGTAGATCGGTATCTCTGGGTATTTCTCAGAGATTAGCATTTGATTCAGTAGATGGAAGACCTGACTTCATCAGTGTGGGCTGAGAAAGGGCAAGTTCCCTCACTCTCTGCTTGAGCGGGGACATCCACCTTCCGGTGCCCTTGGCTGTCGGAGCCCCTGGTTCTTGGGCCTTCGGGCTCAGACTGAATCACGCCATCTGCTTTGCCGGGTCTCTAGCTTGCAATTGGCAGATCATGGGACTTCTCAGCCCCCACAGTCACATGAGCCAGCCCCTATAATAAATCTCCTCCTGCAGATCTATATATATCCTACTGGCTCTGTTTCCTGGAGAATCCTGACTAACAGTAATAAAAGGCTCACTCCTTTCATTCTCTTCTGTCCTCTGTACGCTGCTGTTGAGTCCCAGGCCTTTGAATGTGGCTGGCGGGACACCCTCCCCAGGGCCTTCTCTGTCTCCTCCAGGGACGGCAGGCCTCAGCTCTCTGGCACGTGGGGTCTATGGTTGCAGCTCCCCAGGAACTGCCTTCATGGTTCTTTCCTCCTCCCGTGGCATCACGAGCGCCCATCTGCCTGCCTTGCTGGTAGACTTGATGCCACCACACCCTGGTCTCTGTTTAAATGGCAAGCGGAGCTCCTTCTGCCCGGTGGCCTCCCTGCCATGCCCCTGCACCCATGAAGGCGGGAAGGAACTCAGGTGGGTGTGGATATCTGGGGCAGAGGGCTCAAGCTCAGGACTCTAGTGGCAGCACCAGGAGCTTGCAGGGCAGGCAGCGCCCCCCGCCCCCCTCCAGGACCAGCTGTGGAGGACACCCCTCCCACCAGGGGAGCAGACAGCCTCCCCTCGCCTCAGGGCGGGCTCCCCCTGCCTCAGGACCAGGGCTTCACGTATTAGGTAAAAAGTGTTTTCTAAACTCTTCACAGGAAAAAGACAGGAAGTAGACACACCACTAAACGCCCAGATCACCAGTGATTCTGTTCAGGTGCCCTCCTCCTCCTTCTAAAAACATTTGTGAAGTCCAATGAATAGATATTTTCACAGGAAAATGATTATTTTTTAAGTAAATGCATTTTCTGGCAAAACTCTAGGACCCGTGCTTATGCAAATGGACGGTACAGATGGGGGCAGGGAGGAAGGGGGCACCCAAGCCGCATGTCCAGCCAGAGGGCAGACCAACAGCTTTGAGCACCTTGAAGTTTGTAACAAACAGCACAGAAAACAAGCCCAGGATCCAAGTGGCCACCTTAGGTCCTGGCCTGGATGTATGTCAAAGAGTGGTCATTGGGGAAGAATTGAGGGTCCAGAGATCCCCCACCCCCTGGGCCTGAGGGAGGGTGCTGGTGACAATGGGGACAGGCCACCTGGAGGACCTAGAAAGTGAGCCCCTAAATGACCAAGGACTAAGTCCTCTGGGGATGTCCCAGCAAAGGACAGACTCCAGGGCAGGTGGGGAGCAACCCTGCCCGTGTCACTGGAGGCCGGCAGAGGTCCCTTCTGCAGCCTACACCCCCGGGGACAGGACCCAGGACACAGGTCTTGTGGAGAGGCTTAAACACACTTCTCCAGCCTCCCTAGTTTGGCATCTCTTTGCCAAGCAAAGGTCTCAAAGCGGGAGAGCAAGGAAGAGAAGATAGCCTGAAATGCCCCCTTCTCTCCACCCAGGCCATGGGAGCCACCTCAGGACACCCACTGGATGCAGGCAGGAGGGGAAAGGAGGCCAGCCTAGGCAGGGGCTGGGGTGGCGGGACAGCCCTGACCCTGGGTTGTGCAAGGGGGACACCCCTGCGTCCTGGCCTCCTCAACCCTCTCGAAGCGCTGGAACCCAGACCTCCCCGGCGTGTGTGAGCAGGTCAGCAGGCCAGCCACACTGCCTAGTCCCTGCCCCCCATGCATGGGAGACAGGGCCATGGGGAGGGAATGTGGATGCAGCATGGTTCCTAGAGGAAAGGCCAGTCTCTGCTTCAGACACTCTTGTTGGAATTGTCAGGTTTGGCGCTCAGGCTGGGCAGGCGGGAGGCAGGTCGCAGGGATCCGAGAGCAGGTGTGGACCAGCTCCTCTGCAGCACACCGTCCCCTGCCTGTCAGAAATGCCAGCAGACACAAGGTCACTGGAGAGCACTGAGGGGCACCCACCTCCTGCACAGCCCTGGGGGTGTGAGTGGCCAGGCTGGGGCAGGCAGCAGGCCACCAGGCTGTGTGTGTCTCCTGGAGGTGGATACAGTGGCCCCCTCTGCCCCCTCCCAGCCCTCTATCAGTACTCCTCACCCCAGCGACCGGGGGGCCTGCCCAGCACCCACACCCTCCCGCCGCCTGGTCGCCCGCATGCCCCGGGCACTGAGAACGTGTCTGCCGGCCACCAAACCACAGATGGCCAATCAGCAGCTCCTGTCCTACAAACAAGCCCACCTCTGAGACTGGGGTTCTCCACAGAAGCCCACGCCAACTGCAGCTTCATGGTGTGACTGAACGCTGTGAGCTCCTGGGTGTCCCTCCAGCACTCCCACCCCCAGGACGGGACAGGAGCCAGCCAAAGTCCTAGAACGTTCCTGCCACCACCCTGCGACGGGGACCCAGGAGGCTTAGGGGCCAGGTCCCAACCAGGGCGGTTACATCTCCTCAGCCATCCTCAAAGGAAGCTGCTGCTCAGAGGACTAGGATGAGCAGGTCTCAAGGGCTGGCCATACCCCTGGGACTGGTGGGGGAGGAGGGGAAGCAGAGAGCAGTGGCACCTTCCCCCACCCCCATAGGCCCAGCAAGCCCTCAGGCCCCCAGAGAGGGTCACCCAGGGGAGCTCCCAAAGAGAGACAGGGTTCCCAGCCTCTTCAGGCAAGCCACACAGGTTCTGGTTTTCAGGGAGGCCCCGAGGTCTGCAGTGCAGCTCCGTGGGGCTGGCCCCTCCCAGCACCACCCATCTGCCCTGGAAGACTCGAGCCTTGCCCTATGTGTGGAGCAGGGGAACCCAACAGTGCCCGAGAATACATCTAGAAATACACGTAAGAGACTGAGGAGAAAGGCATCAGGCCCAGCACAGTGACCATCAGTCCACTAGGTGGGTATTTTGGGGAGGGGGCCAAGGACACAGGTGACCCCTGAAGGTGGGAGTGGCACATCACCTAGAGCTTAGCAGAGAAGGATGAGAAGTCCGCCAGCGACTGGATGTCGTTAGGGAATGTCAGCCAGGCCCCACCATCAACCACCAGCAGGGCCCCCGTCACATAGGATGCCAAAGGGCTGGCCAGGAAGAGGGCGCTGTGGGCGATCTCCGTCTTGTTCCCCAGCCTCTGCAGGGGGCTTGCCAGGACCTTTGCCCTCATGCTGGCCTGTGGGCCACCTGGGAAGCAGTGGGAGGCTCAGCCCCTGTGGGCCCCGGGACCCCGGGGCCCTCCACCCTCCCTGCCCAGCTTTCCCTGAACCACACCCGGGAATGTTGGGGGCATCGTTAGCATCATCCTGGGGGAGCAGGAACAGGCCAGGTACAGTAACACCACTACAGAACCAGCACAGGGCCTTTCTCTGCTCACCCTGCCAAGGCTCTGGAGGCTTCAATGGGGCCCCACTTTGTGTCCGGCTCACACATCAAGGCCAGCAGCCCCTGGCCTCTAGCTCTAGGGGGCAGCTGCCCAAGTCCAGCTGACCCTTAGTCCATTGCAGGGCTGTGCAAACTGTCCCCAGCCTGGAGACGGACTCTTTGCCCACCCTGGGAAGCCATGAGGATTTGGCACTGATCCCAGGCCTGTCCCAGCCAGGTGGGAGGGGAGCCCTCGGAGGCACGGTGGAGGGGGCGGGGGTGCCTGTGCTTAGGGGAGCACCCGCTGGGGGGCCTGGGCTTCCCGGGAGCCTTACCCAGCCGCCGGAAGCCCTCTGTGCCGCTGATGGGGCCGGGGGCAAGGCTGTTGACGCGGATGTTCTGGGGGCCCCACTCCACAGCCAGGTGCCGTGTCATCGCATCTGCACGGGAGGCCAGCAGGCATGAAGGAGAAGCAGGGCTGCTCTGCCTTTAGGGAGGCCCGGGTGGGGGTGGGGGGACACTGCCGGCCTCCGGGGACAGGGATGGGGAGGAACCCACGTGGGCAGACCAGAGGGGGCGCCCGTACCCACAGCCGCCTTGGCAGAGCCTGCATGCACTTGGAGCACCTGCCCGCGGGTACCCAGGGTTGCAGTGATGTTCACGATCACCCCTCCATGGCGCTGCAACACACGAGAGGGGCAGTGAGCAGTGGCCAGAAGCGGGGAGGCCCTGGCCACGGGACACTCACATGGAAGAACTTCTCGTAGAGTACGAGAGACACGTTGAAGGTGCCCAAGGTGTCAATGTCCATCACGGTCTTGAAGGCGTTGGAGGACAAGGCACTGGCAGGGCACAGGAAGTTCCCGGCTGCACCTGCCAGTGGAAGGAGAGAGCGGATGGTGCTGGAGCCCCGGGCAGTTGAAGCATCTGGACCCTCGGGGTGGCCCAGGTTGGCCAGGGAAGGAAACCTGAGCATTTGGACAAGTTCCTGAATGACGGGCAGGATGGGTTTTATGGGTTGGATTGTGTCCCTAAAAAAATTCGCTGAAGTCCCAACCCCTGGTGCCTGTGAACGTGACCTTATTTGAAAAGATGGTCTTTGCAGATGTCATCAAGGTAAGAGTAGATCATACTGAATTAGGGTGGCCTAAGCCCAAGGATTGGCATCCTTAAAAAGAAGAGGACACAGACGTGCACAGGGGATGGCAGTGTGTGGAAGGCAGAGGCTGGAGGGGTGCAGCCCAGAGCCAAGGCCCACCAGGCAGCAACCCCAGGAGCTGAGGGCAGGGCCTGGGACAGAAGCTCCGCCGAGCCTTGTTTTCAGACTTCTGGCCTCCAGACTGTGAGAGAATATATTTCTGTTGTTTTAAGCTGCCCAGCTTATGACTTTGTTAGTGGCAGGAAAATAAGACGCAGGATGTTTTTAAAGGAAATTTCAGCAAAAATGAACTTGAATGTAAAATAGGGACTATAGTTAACCTTATGTATCAATATCGGTTCCCCGGTTGTAACAAATGCAAGGTGTTCATAGTATGTGGAGTTCTCTGTACTATCTGCTCAATTAGTCTGCGAATCTAAAACTATACTAAAACAATAACATGTAGTCCTTTTTCTTTAAGGGGGAATTTCAGGACACAAGAGTGGCCCTACTCTATGATTCAGCCTAGTTCACAGGGCATCCTCTTGAGCCACAGCTGCACTGACCCGGAAGGAGCTGAGCTGGGCTGAGACAGTGGCCTGGAGCCAGGACAGTTCTGGGGCCTCCAAACAGGGAGATCTGGTATTGCTGACCTGTCAGAAGCCCCCTGGCCAGAAGGCCGAAGCAATGTGGAGGAGACATTAGTGACTTGAGAGCACGGCCACCACCACTGCCACCATGTGCCTCCTCAACAAGCCCAAGGGTGAGATGACCCCAGAGGAGCTGCAGAAGCGGGAGGAGGAAGAGTTTAACATGGGTCCACTCCCCGTGCTCACACAGTCGGTCAAGAACAACACCCAAGTGCTCATCAATTGCCGCAACAAGAAGCTCCTGGGCCGTGTGAAGGCCTTTGATAGGCACCGCAACATGGTGCTGGAGAAAGTGAAGGAGGTGTGGACCGAGGTCCCCAAGAGTGGCAGGAGCAAGAAGAAGTCCAAGCCAGTCAACAAGCACCACTACATCTCCAAGATGGTCCTGTGTGGGGACTCGGTCATTGTGGTCCTGTGGAACTCGCTCATGCATAGCCAGCAAGAAGGGGCCTCCTCCCCGCAATCAGAACTTGCCCCCTCGTTTTTCAAAGACCTGCCCTTTGCGCTGGAAATAATAAAGTACTGTGATTTTTCTAAAAAAAAAAAAGGAAGCCCCCTGGCCTCACTCAACAGTGACTCACAGTTAATGAGAATGTCGATCTTCCCGAACTCCTTCAGAGCCTGCTCCACGGCTGCCATGATGGCCAGGGGAGCTCGGACGTCCAGAGATAAAGGGAGGCACTTCTGGCCAGTGGCAGCAGCCAGCTTTCTGGCAGCCTAGAGGCCGGACAGGAAGAGAGAGGTGGGCAGCAGGCCGGTGGCCTCAGCCTGGAGGAACAGCCCTTCAGAATCTGATAAGGATGATGAGCCAGGTTCTGCCAGGAAGCCGGGCTCTGCTGCTGAAACCCACTCTGCAGAGACACAGCTGGCAAGTGGCCACTCCCTAGGGCCATGACCCCTGGTGGACGCTGCTAAGACAGCCCGCACCCTCTCCCCTTTCATCACCCTCCAGGCCCCTGGTCACTAGTCACAGGTCAACGGCAGCTCCAGCTGACGTCCAGTCCCTGCCCCGAGACCAGCCATGGCAGTGGAGAGACTCTCCACCCTCATGACCCTGGTGAGCCCAGATATCTGTCTTGGGGCCACAGTACCACCCAACATAAGGGTTCCTGCACAGGACCCAATAAGTAGATTCTTTAAAAAGACAAGGATGTCCCTGCGGGCCACTTCCATCGAAGCTCTGTATTTGGAAGAGGGGCAGGTTTTGGTGTAATCATCCTCTGGACCTCAGGACCCTCCAGGCCCAGGCTCCCAGCCCCCAAAGCTACCCATGGACATGTGGGCACAGGAGAGACCCCTTACCATCGACACTCTGGGAAGACTTCTGCTGGCAATGACTGTGTGGCAGCCGTGCCTGCAAAGCCAGAGGGCAGGTGTGAGGGCAGCAAGGTGCAAGGGACACGCCCAGCCGGGCTCCTGCCTGGCGCTTGAAGCAAAGGTCCCCCTCCCCAAAGGGTCTCTCAGGCTTAAACACCAGCCTAGGGCTGAAGGCACAGCTAGCAGAGGACACAGGGGCCTCTGTGGGGCTGAGAGACTGTGGCAGGACCTCAGGCAGGCACCACTGGTTTCTGGGCTGGGTCTCTCTGGCATGAGGTATGCCAGCCATGCGGGGATGTGGGCCTTGCCCCAAACACCATGTGAGCAGCTGTGAGTCTTGGACACAGGGCCCAGACTCTGCATGAGTCCTGCTGGGTCCACCTGGGTCTCCCCGGGAAGCTGGAGTGAAGGACAGAGAGCCCATTCCAGGGCCAGGGCACCTCCCCTGCCTTACCTCCCGACAAACCCAGCCTCAAACTCAGTAACAGTACCAGCTACCACCTGCTAAGCCAGTTCCACTGAATCCTCAGAACACCACAGCACAGCTGGCCACACTCTGCTCAGAGAAGCAACAAAGCTTCCAGCTAGGAAAACAAATTCACCTGGAATGGATGAGTCCCAAAATCTCGTCCAGTGGGACATCTGTGAAAAGCAGAGTCCTGGAGGAAACCAGCTTCACCTCCCCTAACCCCAGCCTAACTCTAGGTCTCTCCTAGGTGGGGGTGACAAACTGTTGACCTGGGCCTGAGACCACAGACCTTGTGTCCCAGGAGACACTGTGCTCTGCATGGTGCCAGGGTCCAACTCGGCCCACACTGACCCTGGCTCAGCAAGACCCTGGGAGACACTGCAGTAGAATTACCTCAACCTTTGGATCCTCCCGCTTTGTACAAATGGGGGTGCTGAGGCCAGAGCCCAACAGTCTAGACTAATCTCTAGGAAAGGCTGTAGTCTTGCCTCTCCCCGGACAGCACTTGACCCCTTTCAGATGCTCTCTGATGGCCCTGGGGCTAGAGGGGTTCCCACCACCCACCGGCATTTTGCCCAAGATCCCAGGGTCCAGTGGGGTCTATGCAAGGGGGTGGGGAGCAAGATGGGGCACAGAGCACACAGAGCAGTGCTTACCGCATGAAAATCTCAGCAATCCGGAACCCGATTCCAGAGCCGCCGCCTGTGATGAAGGCTACCTTGTCCCTGAGAGAAGAAAATAGAGGCTCTTTAAAGAGGCCCCTGTTAAATGGGGGCGGGGAGGAGGTCCTCCTGGAGGACACTGACCCTCTGCACTGGGCACTTCTGTCAAATTTGAGAAACGCTGCTTTTTAAAGCCTGCATTCCTCAGCTTTTTGAATCTTTGGGAAGAATGTCTCTATGCATAAAAGTCTCTATGCAGAAAGTTATCAATTAAATGAGAAATGTTTTCAAAACATACAAGCCTTCCTCCAGCCACCTGCTAAGTGCATAGAGTAGACGGTTCCTGGAGAAAGAGAAACACGCATGGCTTTCCTGACATAAGAGAAGCAGTTTTGGCCTAAGCCATTCTATGATCTAAGCCTGGTCACAGTCTTGTCCTCGAACAGGTCTCAAAAGAATACAGAAACTGGGACTTCCCTGGTGGTCCAGTGGTTAAGACTCCATGCTCCTGATGCAGGGACCTGATCCCTGGTCAGGGAACTAGATCCCGCATGCCACAACTGAAGATCCCACATGCCATCCCACATGTCACAACTAAGACCCGGTGCTGCCAAATAAATAAAATTTTTTTTAAATAAAAATGGGTAGGGGTCACATATATATGCTGTCTACAAGAGACCCACTTCAGACTTAGGGACACATACAGACTGAAAGTGAGAGGATGGAAAAAGATATTCCATGTAAATGGAAACCAAAAGAAAGCTGGAGTAGCAATACTCATATCAGATAAAATAGACTTTAAAATAAAGAATGTTACAAGAGACAAGGAAGGACACTACATAACGATCAAGGGATCAATCCAGGAAGAAGAAATAACAATTATAAATAGATATACACCCAACATAGGAGCACCTCAATACATAAGCCAACTGCTAACAGCTATAAAAGAGGAAATCGACAGTAACACAATAATAGTGGGGGACTTTGGGCTTCCCTGGTGGCTCAGTGGTTAAGAATCTGCCTGCCAATGCAGGGGACACAGGTTCAAGCCCTGGCCCGGAAGATCCCACATACCGTGGAGCAACTAAGCCCATGCACCACAACTACTGATCCTGTGCTCTAGAGCCTGTGAGCCACAACTACTGAGCCCACGCACCACAACTACTGAAGCCTGTGCACCTAGAGCCTGTGCTCTGCAACAAGAGAAGCCACCACAATGAGAAGCCTGCACACCACAACGAAGAGTACCCCTGCTCACTGCAACTAGAGAAAGCCCGCATGCAGCAACGAAGACCCAACACAGTCAAAAATAAATAAATAAATTTAAAAATAATAATAATAATAGTGGGGGACTTTAACATCTCACTTACACCAATGGACAGATCATCCAGACAGAAAATTAATAACAAAACACAAACTTTAAATGACAAAATAGACCAGATAGATTTAATTGATATTTATAGGACATTCCATCCAAAAACAGCAGATTACACTTCCTTCTCAAGTGCACATGGAACGTTCTCCAGGATAGATCACATCTTGGGTCACAAATCAAGCCTTGGTAAATTTAAGAAAATTGAAATCATATCAAGCATCTTTTCCGACCATAACGCTATGAGATTAGAAATCAATTACAGGGGAAAAAAACATAAAAAACACAAACACATGGAGGCTAAACAATACATTACTAAATAACCAAGAGATCACTGAAGAAATCAAAGAGGAAATAAAAAATACCTAGAGACAAATGACAATGAAAACACAATGATCCAAAACCTATGGGATGCAGCAAAAGCAGTTCTAAGAGGGAAGTTTATAGCAATACAAGCCTACCTCAAGAAACAAGAAAAATCTCAAATAAACAATCTAACCTTACACCTAAAGGAACTAAAGAAAGAAGAACAAACAAAACCCAAAGTTAGCAGAAGGAAATAAACCATAAAGATCAGAGCAGAAATAAATGAAATAGAAACAAAGAAAACAATAGCAAAGATCAATAAAACTAAAAGCTGGTTCTTTGAGAAGATAAATAAAATTGGTAAACCACTAGCCAGACTCATCAAGAAAAAGAGGGAGAGGACTCAAATCAATAAAATTAGAAATGAAAAAGGAGAAGTTACAACAGACACCGCAGAAATACAAAGCATCCTAAGAGACTACTACAAGCAACTATATGCCAATAAAATGGACAACCTGGAAGAAGTGGACAAATTCTTAGAAAGGTATAACCTTCCAAGACTGAACCATGAAGAAATAGAAAATATGAACAGACCAATCACAAGTAATGAAATTGAAACTGTGATTAAAAATCTTCCAACGAACAAAAGTGCAGGACCAGATGGCCTCACAGGTGAATTCTATCAAACATTTAGAGAAGAGCTAACACCCATCCTTCTCAAACTCTTCCAAAAAATTGTGGAGGAAGGAACACTCCCAAACTCATTCTATGAGGCAACCAGCACCCTGATACCAAAACCAGATAAAGATACTACAAAAAAAGAAAATTACAGACCAGTATCACTGATGAATATAGATGCAAAAATCCCCAACAAAATACTAGCAAACTGAATCCAACAACATATTAAAAGGATCATACACCATGATCAAGTGGGATTTATACCAGGGACGCAAGGATTCTTCAATATATGCAAATCAATCAATGTGATACACCATATTAACAAATTGAAGAATGAAAACCATATGATCATCTCAATAGATGCAGAAAAAGCTTTTGACAAAATTCAACACCCATTTATGATAAAAACTCTCCAGAACGTGGGCATAGAGGGAACCTACCTCAACATAATAAAGGCCATGTATGAAAAAACCCACAGCAACATCATTCTCAATAGTGAAAACCTGAAAGCACTTCCTCTAAGATCAGGAAAAAAACAAGGATGTCCACTCTCGCCACTATTATTCAGCATAGTTTGGAAGTCCTAGCCACTGCAATCAGAGAAGAAAAAGAAATAAAAGGAATACAAATTGGAAAAGAAGAAGTAAAACTGTCACTGCAGATGACATGATAATATACATAGAGAATCCTAAAGATGCCACCAGAAAACTACTAGAGCTAATCAATGAATTTGGTAAAGTTGCAGGATACAAAATTAATGCACAGAAATCTCTTGCATTCCTATACACTAACAACAAAAGATCAGAAAGCGAAATTAAGGAAACAATCCCATTTACCATTGCAACAAAAAGAATAAAATACCTAGGAATAAACCTACCTAAGGAGGTAAAAGACCTGTACTCAGAAAACTATAAGACACTGATGAAAGAAATCAAAGATGACACAAACAGATGGAGAGATATACCATGTTCTTGGATTGGAAGAATCAATATTGTGAAAATGACTACTACCCAAAGCAATCTACAGATTCAATGCAATCCCTATCAAATTACCAGTGTCATTTTTTACAGAACTAGAACAAAAAAATCTTAAAATTTGTGTAGAGACACAAAAGACCCCGAATAGCCAAAGCAGACTTGAAGGAAAAAAACGGAGCTGGAGGAATCAGGCTCCCTGACTTCAGACTATACTACAAAGCTACAGTAATCAAGACAATATGGTACTGGCACAAAAAGAGAAATACAGATCAGTGGAACAGGACAGAAAGCCCAGAGATAAACCCATGCACCTATGGTCAACTAATCTATGACAAAGGAGGCAAGAATATATAATGGAGAAAAGATAGTCTCTTCAATAAGTGGTGCTGGGAGCACTGGACAGCTACATGTAAAAGAATGAAATTAGAACACTCCCTAATACCATACACAAAAATAAACTCAAAACGGATTAAAGACTTAAATGTAAGACCAGACACTATAAAACTCTTAGAGGAAAACATAGGAAGAACACTCTTTGCCGTAAATCACAGCAAGGTCTTTTTTTGACGCAACTCCTAGAGTAATGGAAATAAAAACAAAAATAAACAAATGGGACCTAATGAAACTTAAAAGCTTTTGCCCAGCAAAGGAAACTACTGACAAGACACAAAGACAACCCTCAGAATGGGAGAAAATATTTGTAAATGGAGCAACAAAGGATTAATCTCCAAAATATATAAACAGCTCATGCAGCTTAATATTTAAAAAAACAAACAACCCAATCAAATAATGGGCAGAAGACCTAAATAGACATTTCTCCTAAGAAGACATACAGATGGCCAAGAGGCACATGAAAAGCTGCTCAATATCACTAATTATTAGAGAAATGCAAATCAAAACTACAATGAGGTATCACCTCACACGGGTTAGAATGGGCATCATCAGAAAATCTGCAAACAACAAATGCTGGAGAGAGTGTGGAGAAAAGGGAACCCTCCTACACTGTTGGTGGGAATGTAAATTGATACAGCCACTATGGAGAACAGTATGGAGGTTCCTTAAAAAAACTAAAAATAGAATTACCCTAGGACCCAGCAATCCCACTACTGGGCATATATGCAGAGAAAACCATAATTCAAAAAGACACATGCACCCCAATGTTCATGGCAGCATTATTTACAATAGCCAGGTCATGGAAGCAACCTAAATGCCCATCGACAGACGAATGGATAAAGAAAATGTGGTACATATATACAATGGAATATTACTCAGCCATAAAAAGGAACGAAGTTGGGTCATTTGTAGAGACGTGGATGGACCTAGAGACTGCCATACAGAGTGAAGTAAGTCAGAAAGAGAAAAACAAATATCATATATTAACGCATATATGTGGAACCTAGAAAAATGGTACAGATGAACCGGTTTGCAGGGCAGAAATAGAGACACAGATGTAGAGAACAAACATATGGACACCAAGGGGGGAAAGTGGCGGGGAGGCGTGGTGGTGGGATGAATTGGGAGTTCGGGATTGACATATATACACTAATATGTATAAAATAAATAACTAATAAGAACCTGCTGTATAAAAAAATAAATAAAAGTTTTAAGAAATGGATAGGGGTCAAACTCTATCCAAGTTAAAAAAAAAAAGAATACAGAAACTAACGATTGTCATCAGCAAGAGAAGTAACAGTAGCAAAGATAATAAATCAGGTTTAAAGACTCCCAGTTGTTTCCATGGTAAAGATTAGCCTGAAGTGCGCAATCATCAGATCAACTGGAACCTCAGGGATGATGACCCTTGTGACTTCAATCAATTAAAGCTTGGTCTCTCAACCGCCCAAACCCTTCATGAATATGCATGCACCTTTAGCTTAAAACTTCCCCAAATTTGCTGTGCGGGGAGACTCCGCTTTGGGGAAAATCTCCAATGTTCTCCTTACTTGCTGCTGGCAATAATAAATCCTTCCCTCTCCTGACCTTTGGCTTGGTTGTGTCCTTTGACACTCACCCCCACCTCGGAGCATTGCTAATGAACACCCACCATCACCCACAGGACAAACAGACCGTGCTCACAGCCATGCAAAGATCAGAACACCAGCAGTTGCATCTCTGGGGCACCTGGACCTCCGGACAGTCTGGCCATCAGGCATGGGGTCCTCACGCATCCCAGTAAAACCGCAGTCCCCGTGCAGCCCGCACCGCAGGCGCCCCCGCCCCCTGCCCGGCTCCCTGGGGCGCCCCCGACACGGCCCTCACCGAAGCAAGTCCGGACAGAAGAGGTGGCGGTACTCCGGGAGACAGTCGTCCTCGCTGACGTCAGGCGGTGGCTGGGCCATGGCGCTCGGTGCGGGCCTGGGAGGCTAGAACAGCAGGGGCCCGCTGGGAACAGGACTCCGACCTCGTCCTCCGGGGACAGGTGGCGCTGTGCCCGCGCCCTTCTCTCTGGCTGGCCTGGGACGAGGAGGCCCGGCCCAGCCGGCGCTCGCCCCTCTCGGGACGCTCCGCCTCCGCGTGCTCTCGCTCCTCCCAGGAAGCCCCGCCTCCGCGTCCCCTCGCTCCTCCAGGACGCTCCAACCACCCCGGCCCTCCCTCTTCCCAGGACTACCGGGTCCTTCCCGGCCCTCCCCCCGCTTCTCCCAGGACGTCCGGCCGCATGGCCGCGCGGCCTGCTGGGACTGGAAGTCACTCTGGGCGCCAAGGTGTGCGCAGGCGCAGTGCGGCGGGCAGGTTCTCGCGGCGGAGGCGCGGTGAACGCGGATGGGAGCTGTCCGCTTTCCCGACTGCTTTTCACAAGGCTGGGCGTCAGTGCCGGGGTCGGAGCCGGCCGGACAAAGGGGACACTCGGTTCCTGGGCTAAGGTGGAGCTCGCGGGCCGGCCCAGGGCCCCTCGGCTTCCCTCACCGCCCTGGGCCCTGCTGTGCATTTAAAACACCTGGTCGGACTCGCCCAGCATTTAAAGTTCCTCGCCTCCTGGACACTTCCCTTTCCTGTTGCAAAAGTGTGACGTAGAAGAGGGAAGGAGAGTAGAGCCCAGAAAAGCCATGGGAAACAAGGAAGGCCCTTCTCTCGAATGGCCAGTCCCAGGGTTGGCTCCCAACACGACCCTCTCGCGGCCAGTAAAGTCAGTACACTTCATCCGTGCCCTCATGTGTAGGCACAGAGAGCAACCAAAGCCGGGAATCCGGGACCAGCGCTTCCGTCGGCAAGACGTCAAATTTGAGTGAGGACCAAGTCGGCCTCAGCAGGTGTAATGATGTGTGGTGTCCAGTACCTGTGACAAGTGACCGGGGACACACCTGAGGACCAGGCGTAAGTGTGTAGTGTCAGTGTGGTCACCAGCCTTTCTGCCCTGGGGGCGGCTTCAGTTCCCTGCCTACCCCTTCCTGCAACCCTCCAGTCCTGCCTAGGGCTCCTCCTTCAGGGAGAGCACTAGCTCAGGAGCTCAGCTTGGATTCCCCAGATTTCAGGCTGGAGATCTCTGGACCTCTGCCTGTCTCATACATTCAACAAAGTTATTGATTCCCTCCTGGTGTGTGAGAGATGGTAAGCTTCATTTCTACTTTCAGGCTGCTTACAACTTTGCATAAAGGCCTCATCCTTACCTCAGAGATGGCAGAGGCTGTAATGAGCACTCCACCCCCACGCACAGCACAGTGAATTTTAATGTCCCCACTCTGGGGGAAGGGAGGTCACACTACCAGCTTTTGGAGGCACCCCAAAGCTTGTCTGGCACTTTGGTACAGAAAGGATTTTGTCCAATCTCTTGCTTGCTTCGGATAATACTAAAAGGCACATAAAGTTGGTGGCTCAACCCCTCTGGGCTGGGGTGGGGCAGCAGGTGGACAGGCGGGTGGGTCTGGGACAGATGGGCAGAGCATGGGTGTGGGCTCAAGGTCTTGTCGACAGAGGTAGTTGGTCCTGGGTGGATGCTGGGGTGACCGAGGGCACCCTGAGTGCTCAGGCTGGATAGATGCTGCTGTGGTGGCCTTCGTCTGCCCAGTCCACCAGCTCACTGCTCTGGAACCACAGCTGGATCTCCCTCTGGGCCCCCTCCACGGAGTCGCTGGCGTGGATGACATTCCTGTGCCAGGTGGCAGAGGTAGGACACAGGCTTCAGTGTGCACCTTGGGGGTCCCAGGGACAGTCTGCTGCGTGCACCTTGGGGGTCCCAGGGACAGTCTGCTGATCCCCTACTGTCGAGGGGAGCAAGCGGGGTGATTGTACAGAGGTGAAAGGAAGAACAGGGGAGCTGCAAAACTGGATTACAGCCTGATCTCAGCTTCTTACCCACAACCTCATCTGTCCCGTGCTAACCCCCGGGGTGTCTGGCGATAAAGTGAGGTGACAGACAACGATGGCAGAACACATATAAAACACCCACGGAATGCTTTATCTTCTCCTGTGTGCATGAAAGGGTTTTTTAAAAAACTGCACTAGCAAACGTTAGGTGTGATGTGCCATCAGTAAAAGTCTCCTCTGGCTTTACTTTCCCCTGAGCAAGAAGCCCAGGTCTGGTGGATCTGCCTTAGCAGCAAGCCGCCACCCCAAGCCCCTAGTGAGCTGGCCCTCAGCTCCAAGTGGCCGAGTGTGTTAGGGCCCCCATACCTGCTGATGTGGATGCTGAAGTCTCCCCGGATGGTGCCAGGGGCAGCCTCAGCCGAGTTGGTGTGTCCTATCATAGCCCTCGAGGTGCAAACCACATTGGGGCCTTCCCAGACCTGCAGCACAGAGATAAAGGAGGTGGGGAGAGGTGGGTATCACCAAGGGCTCAGTCCAGGACCCTCCACCCCTCCCACCACCCCTGCCCCGCTGTACCATGGCCACCACCGGACCGGAGCTCATGTAGCTGATGAGGGCTGGGTAGAAGGGCTTCCTCTGCAGGTCGTGGTAGTGCTCGGCAAGGATGCTCTCTGGTGCCTGGTGCATTGGGGGAAGGAGGTGAGAGGAGGCCCTGGAGAGGGAGCCCCACCAGGCACTGGGACAGTGACATGGTGTACTGATCACAGGGCCCTTTGCAGACGACACCTACATGGGGCAGCACTCCAGCCACAAAAGCACAAGGCAGACACCTCCCCACCCCTCCCCTTCTACTGCCAACACCAGGATGTCTTCCTGACGCAGGGCTGAGATGTGAGAAGCCCCCCATCCCAGTCCCCTCAGGGACACCCACAGGCCAAGAGCCCTGGTACCTGCAGCATCTTCATCCCCACCAGCTTGAAGCCCCTCCTCTCAAAGCGCTGGATCACATCCCCAACCAGCCTCCGCTGCACCCCGTCTGGCTTCACCGCAACCAGGGTCCGCTCCAGGGTCCAGGAGGGTCCTCCTTTAGAAGAGGGGGGTTCGGGGCTGCCGAGGCCTCACCCTTTCATGTCTCCCGGACCTGGGTTCCCCTGCCAGGACCCAGGGGTCACCTGGACTTCAGAGTGTCTGCCTCAGGCAGAGCAGCTCTGGAGGGGAGAAGTGTGGTGTCCACAGCCAGGACTGTCTAGCATGGTGCTACCCCTTGGGACAAGCAGCACAGGGGGTCCCTGGGGACTTCAGCCTGTCAGAGGGGCCATGGGCCCTCCCAGGCAGTGGCAGAAGCTGCCCATGATAGAGCTGAGTCCCCTGAAAAGGCATCTATCTTAGACAGCCTGGAGGCCTAGGGAGGCACAGTCCAGCTCAGAGGCCACCTGGAGGCCCAAAGATGCCACACTGGAAAGAAAGTACAAGTCTTGGCCTGATTTTCACTCTTGTCCTTTGTGGCGCTAGCACAATGTCTGAACCCCCAACCTGCCACATCAGGAAGGAACTACCACCCATCTTCTGGGTCTCAGGTGAAGGAATGGCAGGGGACCAGGGAGACAGAAGTGCACTTTCCCCACTGGCTGGGCCACAGACAGCAGGACAAAGGGACCTGGGGATTGAGGAGAAAGGTGGAGGGGTTCCTGTCTGCAGGTGGGGAGAGTTGAGAGGGCTCCTCCCCTCACACCTTCGTTGGCCAGGCTGCTGTGGGGTTCCAGGGTGGGATGCTTCCAGACCTAAAGTCAACACTGCCACAGTCTTCCCCCTCCTGGGGAGACACTGCCCGGAAGACCCCCCAGCATCGTCACCCTCCTACAGCCCCAGGCCACTTCCAGAGTTATGCTGACCCTCAGCATTGGGTCCAGGGTCAAGTGTACTTTTGAGAGGAGCCCAGACCCTGGATGTCCAGCTAATTCCTGCAAAGAGGGAGGAGAAAACTGGAGGAGCGATGAGACATAGGGTCCAGGAGGGCCAGTGTCCCTGGAGGCATCTGCAGCTGCCTTCCCATCCCCAGGAGGAAAATAAACCAAAGTTGTGCAGGGCCTGGAGAGCAGACAGTGGGTTCCCACCACATCCCTTCAATGAACCGCGCTGGAGAAGTCCCCCCATCCTTATTGCGTCCCCCAAGCCCAGTGCCTGGGGGCCCTGCTGCCAGCTGGCTTGTGCCTCAGCCGGTGGCAGTTCACTCTTGCCAGCATTTGGAACGCCAGGACATCTGCTGCTCAGGAAGAGCCTGAGGGTCAGCAGCTAGGGCAGAGGTCCCTGTGGATACCAGCGGGCAGGGATAGGCCAGAGGGAAAAACGCCCCAGGACGGCAGTGTTCATCTGATGAGAATGACCCCTCTCAGGAGCCCCGAGTCCGCTGCAAAGTGTGGCCCCCAGGCTTCTGGCTTCCTCCTGCCCTGGAACGCTGGGGACCCCCTGCCCTGAGCACGGTGAGGAGGTGAGCGGGGGCGTGGGGGGCTGGGTGGGAGTGAGCGGTGGTGGGGGGGGTGCGTGCAGGGCCCCAGCCCGGCGAGAACCCGACGGTCGCGCAGCTCCAGCCGGCCAGTCCCGAGGCCTCAAGCCCCCTGCGCCAGGGCCCGCACGTGCGCCAGCAGAGGCCTGCGGCGCCTCAGCCCGCCCCACCTCGCGCATGGCCGCCGGGTGGGCGGACTCACCAGAGCTGGAGCGCGCAAGCAGGCTGGCGACCGGGGCCCGCGTGCGGCACATCAGCCCCCGCAGCGCCGCGCGCGCGGAGAGACCGCGCATGACTCCCTGCCCGCGAGTGCTGTCTGAGAGCGCAAGAGAGAGGCCCGGGGATGGAGGGGGAGGGGCAGAGGGAAGTGCGAGGGAGGAGGGTGGAGGGAGAAAAGGAACCTGGGGAAGGGTTGGAGGGACAGAGGGAAGCGGGAGGAGGGAAGGGGAGGGAGGTGGAGGGGCAGAGGGAGAAAAGGAACCCGGGGAACGGGCAGCGGGAGAAAGGTAGGAGGGAGGGAGGGGAAGGGGGAGAGGAGGAGGGGTGGAGGGAGGGAAAGCGGCGCAAGGCCCCCATGGCCTCTACCCTCGCGGCCCCACACCGACCCTGATTCACTCAGGCGGCCTAAGGAAGTATTTAATGTCAATTTCTGTTAAAATGAGAAGAAAAAAACAACAATGATGATGAACACAGCATGGATTGTATTCGTCTTTATACGAACACAGTCCTTAAGTATCAGTT